ATTATTCTCACACAAACTAGAACGAAATTCTAGCGCTATATTACAATGTAATGATCTAACTTCATATACTGCGTTATTCTAAAGTGTTGACAACTCATGTGACCTTCAATAACACTTAACTGAGATTGAACAAACGAAAATCATAAAAAACGTGTCTTTTTTCTATTTAATTGCCTACATTTTCAAAATTTATGTTTGCATTTGATTATCTGATAAGAAAATCTTATCTTAAGTATGCTGTAAAATGATTATACGACTAGCTGCAAAAAAAGTCAGTGAATCTCGTAATCAGTTGAAAACATCAACTAATACATAAAATGCAAAATCAGTTGCATAATCGAAGGGAAAAAATAATGAATTGAAAGATGATCAACTTTTATGCGTAATCTAGTTATTCTGCAGTCAGAGCAAAACCAGCAGAAGAAAGAAGAAACGTATAGAGGATGTGAGTGTGGATGAGGATGAGGATGAGAATTAAAGGAAGAACGCACTCATATTCATACTCTCAAGTCGATAAACAAATAAAACCTTATGTTTGGTAATGAATCTTTCGAAGATAATCAACAGTATTTGAAGTAATTTATATTCGAAGAGAAAAAAAGGTTCGGGAGCCCGGAAAAGTTTCATTCACAAATGCACTTGCACCCTAAAAGAGGATTTGTAGTTAAAAAGATTTTTGGAAAATTTATTGATGAAGATTTTCTAAATGAAAATGTTTTAAAAAAATTTAAGGTTCAGTAAAAATTTGTTTAATAGGTAATGGAATTATTTGTATCGTTGTTGATGTATTGGTTTTAATCGTAACTCTAATAGCTTGAAGTCTAAAATGATGATCAAATAATGCTTGACAGTAGAAAAATGGATCAAATACATTTTCATGAACAATTAATTCCGATTTCTTTTCTTGTTTTGCTAGTTTCTCTAGTGTTTTAATATATTTTTTATCCCATGATGGAGAACGAAGACTAGAAAAATCACAACCAAATGAAAATATAATACAAGACTTTTTATCATTTGAATAATAGATTAAAACAAAATATCGAATTTCAATTGAACAATCATCTGCTGAAATAAAACCAAGAATATTTTTTTGAGACAGATTTAATTTATCAATTAATTTTTCTAATGTTGGTAAATTCAATGGTTGATTAATCTAAATAATATTATTCAATTAATTAAAGAAAAAAATTTTAATATTAACCTGTTCAAGAATAAGACTAGCATGTTTCATTTGTGTATCTTCAATATTAATTTTAAGTTTAAGTGGTTGAGGTAAAAGATGATGTGCTCGACAACGATGTTGATTATCAATACCTGGTGAACCATTCAATTGAATTTGAATTGTTATTAAACATAGAATAAGTTTATTTGGATCGATATTAATTAATTGTTGATCTTGATTTGTAATCAATTGACAAGAAATCCACTTATTAGAAATATCTTCATATTCAGCTGATAATTGTAAAATGCCTATTGATTCAGAACTTGTATTATGAAAAATAAAACGAGGAAATGTAAATGAATTCATAAATCGACCATTTTTAGCATATATATCTTGATTGCATTGAATTTCTTTTGATTGATCAATTAAACGAATAACAGAATCACCTTCACTTGAATATTTTTTTTGAATTATTTCGAATATTTTATCGTTTATTTGAGGCCCTTCACGTATTATTTCTGTAGAACTTATTTCACAATCTTCTTCGTTCATGTCTTCTTCTTCTTCTTCTTCTTCTTCTTCTTCTTCTTCTTCTTCTTCTTCAATAATTGTTGTTGGTTGAGGAGATTCAGATCGTCTTAATTCAAGAACAGAATAAATTTTATTAATTAATTCTTGACATTTATTTTCAAAATTTATTTCATTTATACTAGTAAAATTCAAATAAACCATATCAGCTATTGTAAGACCTAACCATTGTGATGGTTTCCATTTTCCTCCTTTACCATCAGTTCCAATAAGACATGGAATTATTGGTTTATGAAGTTGAACAGCATACATTAATTCTTTTTTACAATTTAACGATTCTTGATATTTAGGTGTTAAAAAACAAACCAATACACAACAATTTTCAACACCTTCAGCCATACTAAATGTAAAAGAAAAACAAGACTTTCGTTCCCTAAACAAAAAAAAGTCGAAATAACCTTGTACTAAGACTATCATGTATTCCTCCATGTTTATCCATCCAAATAGGTATTGATTGAATTTTTGTTAAATAAAAAAATATTTTTGATACTAAATTTTCACTGTTCCATTGATATGACAACATAATATGCTGAGATTTTTGCGTTGTAACATCCATTTCGTGTATAAATCACAATAACAAATGAATGTAAATGGTAGACATCAAGGACGATTATTCTATAAATATATATAGGTCAAATGAATAATTAAATATACATTTAGATATTTGTCAGGTAAAGGTAAGAGAAAGAAAACGAAAAATAAATATCGTTTATTTTCAATAGATTTATTTATTTGTTTACTAATATTTGTATTAAGATTGTTTTATTGGAAATTATACATTAAAAATGTCAAAAAAAAATGAATGATAAAAATTTTTATAACAATCAATGTTCTTGTACTTAAAGATTAATTTCTCTGACAACTTTTCGACATAACCATCTACAAATTTTTTTCCTCAATGAAAGTAGCTCTTCTTTTCGTTCACATCGTAATACTTTACAGTTGCTCAAATGATATGGTTGATTGTTTACCTGTTTTGATCAATAAATTCCATGTGCTGACAATAGAATCTACAACTCACCGAAAAAAATTCAATAGAGAATATAAAGAGACTTGGAAAAAAAACGCACATATTTTTGTAAGATTAGTCACAAGCAGTTCTTCTTAATATATTTTTCCACACATTTTTGTAGCCAAACAAAGTACGTTTGATATATAAAAATGTATTGCATTCTCCAATCATACATTGTTGAACTTTATAATCTAACATCATGAATGATAACATATGTCGACATAAAAATAACAAGAATAGTTAAACTTGACATAAAAGTGACTTAGTAATGGCAATCACCAACTTTGTAGATATAAACATTGAAAAATCCAATGAAATCCTTTAAGCTAGAATGCGAACTTGGCTACGAGGATGCAAAAATTGAGAGCTATATGGAAATACAAGCAGAAATATATAAAGATATCGTGATTGTTAGTGTTGAGAGTGTGGGTGTGGTCATGAAGGGAACAACCACATCCACACCCACACCCTATTATAGAAAACTTAATCACCAAATTAGAAAGCAATGGTGTAGCCTTAATTGATTATAATGAGACAACGTCAATCACTTCGAACGAGTTCATATGGTTGGCTGATTCAGCAGTCATTCTTGTGGGTACTACAAAAGAGGGTGTGGGTGTGGGTGTGGGTGGGTGTGTGGGTGTGGATGTCTTATCTTCATTCACATCCACATTCTCACGCATACCCACACCCACATCGACATCCACACCCACATCCACACCCACATCACACACCCACACGTACACCCACACCGGAAGATCGACAGAGCTTAAATGTAAATCATTGTATTACTAGTCTACATATATTGACCTTTGCTGTAAAATGTGCTTTCTTATAATCCTTTTACTATGTAAGAGAGCAGTTCAATCGATTTTAATTTTATTTTTATATTAAGAAATCATTTCAATACATGATTAAAATGAATGAGAATCGTTAAAATTTGACAAATTAATCGAATGTTTGTCTGAATATATGCTATGTGTCGATATCGACGACAACTTAGATGAAAATGTAATTATGCAAACTTTTACATTTTTGATCTAAGAAAAAAGAGATACTTTATTGATAATCGATTCTAAAATGTTCTTCATCGCTTGTGCTTCTTGTTCGGTGTATCCCAATGTTCGATTTGACCAATTATAATGTTCAAGAATTCGTTCACGCGCTTCATCAGTGCGTCCAAGCTGAAGTAAACATTCAATCAAAAGAGACATAGCATCGACGAGTTTTTCGGGATGGTTTCTCACAAAGGAGGCTCGTTCAAGTTCGACGATTTTTTCGTACATTTCCAAAGCTTTCTCATATGATCCTAAAGCATTATAAGTTTTCCCCATATTATTGTACGTTACAGCCATATCTGGATGCAACGGATCCAGCGATTTGAGTTTAATACGCAGCGATTCTTTAAAATGCATTAAAGCGTCATCGAATTTGCCTTGTGAATAGAGTATAGCTCCTATGTTCGTCTGTCGAAATGCTAATAATATATGATCAACTGGAAGAGATTTCTGCGCAATTTCCAAGGATTTCTCATGCATGAAAAGAGCTTTGTTACTTTGGTTTAGTTCCTGATAGATACAAGCAAGATTATTGTAAGCTTCGGCAATAGCAGGATGTGTCGGCGGCAAACACAGTTGTCGTAGACTAAGAGTTTTCTTTCGATGAACTAATGCTTCCTTGAGGTGACCTTTCGTTTTGAGAATAAAACTTATATGATTATGATAGACACTTAATTCAAAGTGATTCGGTTTAGTGGCTGCTTCTCCAATAGTTAGAGCCTTTCGAAAATATTTCAGGGCTAGATCTAGCTCGCTCCGATCCATGTACACCACAGCAATATTACTGTACGTAGGAGCGAATGCAGGATGATTCAATGGTAAATTTTGATGATGGATTTTTAACTCGAACCGGAATTGTTCTAGAGCTCTGTCATAATCACCCAAATTTTCAAAGGCCATGCCCAAAAGGTTATGACATCTAGCTCGATGACCTGGTGTTTTTGCTGCCGTTAGGGCAGTAGCAAAAAATTGTTCTGCTCTTCGATAGTCGCCAGTCTCGAGCATAAGCATACCCAGCGTGGTTAAATCGTATCGTTCATGTAGGTCTATCGACATGTACTTCGTTAGAGCAGTCAACTGAGGATCATTATCTTGAGTCAATGTCAAATGTACACAAACGCAACTATGATCAATATCTTCGATACGATCAATTCGAAACACAGTACCCATTGAGAAAAGATATTCTTGTTCACCTGCACCGAATTGACTGTGAGATTCAATATCAGCAAATGGAGCGCTAGTGTCACTACATTTTGAATCAAGGGAAATTTCAAGGAGAACTGCTGTACAATCATCGGTTGATTGACCTGCAAAAACAAGTGCCAAATTTCGATCTGCACTTGTTGACAGAAATCGATTGATCGATAATAGGCCACTAACATTGGTCTTGATTTTTTCAAAATCTTTCGATGGAATTAACTGACCACGATAGAGTTTCATCAGTTTTCTTTCATTGCTAGTCATCATTGCTGTATATAACTGAGAAATTGCCCGATGTATATCACGAATAAAAACACGAAAATGATACAAAACGTCTACATCTTGAACGTGAAGAGCTCTATTCAACATTCGATAAAGAAAAGAGTCTAAGGAATACCACCAAATGGCTCTGTCCGATTGGTAATTTTGTTTAAAATATTCAGTAAAATCAAGAGCAACTTTATTATCTACATTCTCTTGACGACAGTATTCGATCATATCACTCATATCATTGTCGTCCAGGTTGATAAGAATACCCTTGAGAAGTTGAGCATACATGAACGAAGCTTCTTGAGTATTTCTGTTCTTTTCAGAAGATGTCAATTCAGCAGGTACAATTTCGAAACCAACCAAATTATGTTCATCTCGTTTTATATCCTGTTTGAGTTGGGTTACAAGTGTTTGTACAGTAAGAAAAATACCATTAATTTTAATATGATTTTTCATATATCTTTCTATTGAATGTGACAATTGTGGTTCTGATGAAGACAGAAGATAAATCGTTTTGACTTGTCGAAAATCGTGTATTACAGAGACAATGAAGTGATCTACATCGTTTGCAATAAAGAAGACTGAAGAATCGGTGTTATCGGTTATAAAATCCACGCAAGAATTCGAATCTTTGAATATTTTGACAATGTTGACGATTTGACAAAAATCATGTTTGATATCTTCATATCGTTCGTCAAAATCTCTGCACAACCAGACAAGAACGACATATTCGACACGTCGATCACGTTGCGCCCAAATATTGATACCTGTTTCATATGTGGCACTATCAATCTGCTCAAACATCATGAATAATCTGTTGATGATGTAAAACAAAGCGAAAAGATTTAAGTACGCGACGATATCAGCAACAGCCTTCGACAGATGTTATCTTGTGAAAAAAGTCACCTCTTAAAACCATTCTTTCTTTACAAATACCAAAGGTGTAATAAGAGACGTTTATTGTTTCATTATCATATCGATAAGGTTTTTGTCTCTATTTGAAGTGCATTTTTGTGTGCTGTCCAAGTTAAGAAATGAAACCAAGACACGTCGAGTGACATTTGAAGATATCTTTTTAAAACGTCTTCTCTCCACCGAGGAAAACTCGAACTTTCATCTACACAAATATATACTCAAGTGGGGAAAAAGCTGAATTTCTTCCTGTAAAAATCTTGAAAATCTCTAAAAGTCCCAGGAATCTCTGAAAATCTTAAAGTCTCAAATCTTACTTTCTTTTGCCTTGAACGAAACTCTCTGCAAGAATAATGTGACTTCTATTTCACTTAAAAATTAATTTTCAAAGAAATCAAAATCAAATTAACTAAAGAGAAATGATGAGAATTAATTAACAAACTAATTGATTTTGTTTTTCTTGTTGATCGAATTATTGTATCGACCAATTATTTAGAGTGACGAATTGTCTGCTGTTTAGCATTGGGAGTATCGATCAAACTTATCATTCTAAGAAATTTTTGTTAAACGAAAGAATTTGACAAAATAAGGGTGTGGGTATGGAGTGTGGGCGTGGGTGTGTGGGTGTAGGGTGTGGTTGTGGGATGTGGAGTGTGAATGTGGGTGTGCGTCTTATCTTCATACACCCACACCCTACAAAGGTGTGGGTGTGGGTGTGGGTGTGGGGTGTGGGTGTGCGTCTCGTGGTTCTTTAGATCGGAA